TTTTTTTTTTTTTTTTTTTTTTATAAAAACTATGCACCGGCATTAACTGCGGATAAAAAGATATACCAGTTTTGTTCTTGCAGTGACAAATGCATTGCCAGAAGAATCAGCATTAGCTTCATCGGTACTCAATGGTGAGTTGGCATTGTCTACCTTAGGACTACTTATTTCCATCCGAGCACGTCTTGTAGCAACCATACTTCCATAAGTCCGCCCTTCCTCTTCAAGTTTCATTAAAGATGTACCTTGGTCTTTTGTATGATCATATAGTGAAGGATTCTTTTCTACAATAATACAGTCATCAAGGGCATTACTTGCATTCAAAGAACTTCTGTACAGACTAGGACTTGTTCTGCTTTGATCTTTTCTATACAAGGATGTACCCTTTGCTTCTGCAGTGATTTTTGGTGCCTTGGTACTCAACTTATCCACCCTCTCCAGCGAATCCTGAGAAGACATAGTATGATGAGCACTCAATACACTCTGATGTGAATAATCAGATAACAAAATTTTCAATAGTCCAAGAAAAATAAATTAATAAAGTTTTTCGATGAATGTCAGTTACCAATTCATTTACAACTGTTCTATTTGATCCCTGAAGGGCCTGAAAGTACTTCGACTGCTTAATCTTGCTGAAATCCATTTCTTTGCTCATGCTAAAAATGCATCCCGGAGCTTTCTTTGCTTGTTCAAATACTTGTCTGAAAGCAACATATAAACGACGCAATAGCCAAATTGGAATTAGTACGGGGTAGTACTCAGCCTGAAACGTTCACGTCTCCAAATATCAAAATATCAGTATATTTGATGAGATATCTTACAGTAACTGAAAAATGCTGTTATCTACTAATTAATAGCCAACTAACTCATTGTGTATATTATCCCCACATTGTTGATATCAAAATGGAAAAAGCCCTTGTAATTTATGCACTTGGAATTGTGGATGTTTATCGTTCGCTACATAAAAATTTAAAAATGTCAGTCACTCAGCCAATTTTATCAGCAGTCCATGGTTATGATACCTTCAACAGCTCCATTCAAACCTTAAATGCTGTATTTCCTATCATTGCCCACGCGGCCTGAACAAAGGATCGGAAATTCATATATATTTTTCCTCTCTATGAGTGCTTCTCTGCTCCAATTTAAAACTATGATTTTATCTTCTAAACTGGCGACTGAGCTGTGTCAATTCCAGCAAAGATTCGAAGTTATCGAAAGTATGGACCAGTTACAGTCCACTGATATAGTTTTCTGAATAATTAAGTTATTAGGGCAAGTGAGCTTCAACTCAAATAAAGCAATAGTTCATATTCATTTCCTAGCGCTCAATTGCATTCCTTCCACTAGAGGGGGGAAGAGATAATGTACGTGCTTTTAACATTCATACCGATCGGATTCCGGCATGAGGGATCGGCGAGCGACATTAATTTTCTCAACGACTTCGCGCCTAATGGGCTGGATAAAAGCATGATCAACATCGGTACGAGTCTGAGAGTCGAGAAATCCAAGAAGACGGAGACCAAGAAGTTGAGCCGCAGAGTAATCGCCTTTTTCGAGGGCCAAATCGACGCCGAAGAGGAGCGATTGGAGTCTCTTCAGATTCTGGTCCACTTGTTTTCTCCAGCATGCCTCCTCCTGTTGGGATTCACCGATTTGCGCTTTGGATAGAGAAGACGAGCGCGTTGAGCTCTGCTTGGACTGAAATTCCTCTTTTCCCGCCATTTTCGTTTTTAGCACCGTGGCTCGCGGGCCTGATTGAATATATATATTGAATGGTTTCAAAATTTCGTCTCAACTTGGTCAGACCTGATTTTCATCCATCGTAACTCGTAAGTCGGGTTAACTGGAAAACAAAAATAATTGCATATTAAACCAGTTTTTTTTTTTTTTTTTTTTTTTTTTTTTTTTTTTTTT